GCCCACCGCCGGCCCCGCCCCCGTGGCCGGGGCTCGACAACCCTGAGGTAGGTCGCATGGGCAGGCAGGCAGGACACGTAGGTGGGTCGCGAAGGGAGCTACTGTTCACAGGTTGCGTGGGTAGGCAGGTAGTCAGTCGCGAAGCAAGGTACTGTTTGCACGACAATCTCATCCCTTGGCGAGAACGGACAGCCTGCATCAAACGTCAATCAGAAAGAACTTCTGATCGGCCTGCTATTCAGGCCATCCGTTAGCACCAACCAACCAGATCGCCGGGCGAAAACACTGCTATTTCAAATTTCCATTTCAAAAAAAGTTATGGGTGTCCTAATGCGTGAGACAAAATGGGCGCCGTCATGCGGATGCTGGAAAACGACAAAACAAAACAAAACCACCGCTGGGCCCCTGCGCGGCGCCAAAACAAAAGAAAAGACCCCAGAAAACGGACAATTCTGACACACATCCTCCCTGAAACCCCCGAATATAGAAAACACCACCGTACAACTTGTGCATGGTAACTGACTGAGGTACTACATGACCACCAACCCCCAAACAAAACAGGGTGGGGATAGGGGGATGTAGTACGGGGGGTGTGATAAGGGGTGTGGGGTATAAGCGAAGTATAAGCAGGGTGTAAGGGGGGGTCTAACAGGAGCTTGCAGGAGGTGTGGGTAGATATTATGGGTATGTGGTATAAGAGTGGCTAAGGGGTGTGAGGTAGAAGGGGGGTGCTGTGGGGTGCGGTGTTTGGGGCGTGCAAAGAGGTTGTTTGGTAAAAGAGGGATAAGGGGTGTACAAATTGGGTGTAAGGACGGTGTGCGCGGGGGGGAGAGGATTAAGGGGCTATACGGGGGTGTAAGGGTCCTTATGTGGGCCCGCCGGGTTCGGGGACTGCTTCCACTGGTCGTAGGCGCCACCCTGCCAGAAAAGCACGTTGTACGCACGCGTACAACAGCAGGGGGCCTGTAGTACGGGATATACGCCACCCTAGTGGAGTCAACATGAGAGCCATCCGACCGCTTCAAAGAGCTCATCGATAACTGCGATTGCATCACAGAGGATAGTTGGATAATGTACACACACATGCACGCACACACACACATGTTCTGGAGAGCGTCACCCTCAGAGGGCAGTTGGATTTCTTGTCGAAATCATTCTCTCAGAACGTGATTCTGTTCACAGTTAGCACCACAGGTGAGGTTGCAGTACTACTACAACACACACAAACACACGCACGCACAAAGGTCGAAAAAAGGAAAAGGACGAAGAGAAAAAGAAAAGAGCCACCATCAGCCTCAGATAACAGTTGGCTGACTTATAGGACAAGGAATCGTCTCACAATTGCTCCCTTACAACTCAGCAGATATGCCACGCAGCTACACTGCAGCCCGCACATCAATTCATCATCAACCTAATAACGAAGAGAACTAGGGTTAGTAGGCACCGCACGGAACAGCATGCAGTATGACCAATGCTCTAAGGTTGAGGACTTTGGTGCTCTCTCAATCAGGTATATGTCAAAGGTCAGCCTCTATCTCACCAAACCAACGACCAGGCAAGCGAGAATACCTCATGCGCTAGGAAAAATCGACCATGAAGAGAAGAAACGGCAAGAGAAGCCAAAAAACAAAAAACAAATCAATGGCGGCACACCTTGGGCCAAAAAATAACTCTTCACCAAATTTACCACAACTCCGCCGATTTCGCACCCCTCGCCGCCCACCTCCCTCTCTCTCTCTCTCTCTCTCTCTCTCTCTCTCTCTCTCTCTCTCAAATTTGCAAAACTCCCGATTTCCCTCTCTCTATCTTTTCACCAAATTTGCAAAAACTCCACCGATTTCCCTCTCTCTCTTTTCACCAAATTTGCAAAAACTCCGCCGATTTCCCTCTCTCTCATTTCACCAAATTTGGCCTTAAAACTCTCTCTCTCTCTCTCTCTCTCTCTCTCTCTCTCTCTCTCTCACACACACACACACACACACACACACACACACACACACAGAGTGTGCGAGTGCAAAGGAGCCTCTGTGTTGTTGTTGTTGTTGTGATGCAGGTAAATTGCAACTCCGCGCGATGAAAAGGAATAAAACCAGTGGCTGTGACAGACAGCCTCCTAGTCTGCGTGTGCGTGTGAACGTGTAGTATACGTCTATGGGCTCCTGCGAAAAGAAAAACAACCAAATGTTGTTGCCATAAAGGGAAAGACGTAACGTCTTTTCATCCCCGAAACCGAACACTCCTGCTGATTCCGGCCTTGATTCCGGTCGATTCGCCCCCATAAGGTCCTGGCGCAGTTTTGACATCCCTAACCTGTCCTTTGCGCCTGGTCACTGCCTTTTCGAATTTCACCTTATACTTCTTCCTAGGATTCTTCGTCAGCTTCTTTCTGTAAGGTGTCAGTCCCCTGTTCGTCTCCATCTCCCTCGTAATATTCCTCTTCTCCCCATCTGCCATATCCCCCTCTTCTTCTCTGGCAGCAGCAGCAGAGATTGCACTTGTTGCCGCCAATTTCTTCGCCTCTTTCTCCGCCTTCTTCCGCTCCTTCTGTTCCTTAGCAGCTAAATACACGTCATCCTCCTCCCGCCGCCGAATCTTCCCTCCTCTTCCCCTCTCCTCCTCCTCCTCGCCGTCCTCGTCCTCCTCCACGCGGTGCTTGGATCGCCCTTGACTCATCACCTCAAACCTCCTCCTCCTCTCGCCCAGATCATCCCTGATGGGTAAATCGGCATCACCGGAGACGATTTTGGGTTTCTTTGGCTGTCTCGAGGCGTCGTCGATGGCTTGAGAGAGCTTTCTCCGTCGAAGAAGCGCGTCCAGAGCTCCTGCACCTCCTCCTCCTCCTCCTGCCTCTCCTCCCTCATCGTCTGCGTCTACAAGTCCTGCCACGTCATCGTTTAGGTCATCTAGCATTCCCATCATCCCGCCTTGAAGCGCTTTCTTGGCGGCGTTCATCCTCTTCTTCTCCTCTCTAGTCATAGACACACGTGTAAACATGCTGACTTCCGCTGCGGCCCGGGCCTCCAGCCTGGCCTTCTCCCGTGCCACCCATTGGCTCTCTGTCCCGATCACCGGCCTGACCTCTTCCGGCCGTCCTTCAATTTCCTCCGCAAGTTCCTTGATGACTGCGCTGCGCGCCGCTCGCTTCTTCGCCAGCGCCTCTGCTCTCGCCTTCGTCTTTGCGTCCTTGCCAACCCTCTCGTCATCCGACATCGTTGTAGGCACCATCATCGGAGGACGATACAAGCCATCGCCGCCATCGCCGTCGCCGTCAAGCTTCGACATCAGCAGGTCGGGATTAGGTCTGAATTGCAGGTCTTTGCGTTTGGCAGGCGCCGCCGCCGAATCCGCATCCTCGCCACTCCTCCTCACCCCCTCCTCTTGGCCGTCACCCTTCTCTCTAGCCTGACGCAGCAGCTTGTCTAACTGGTACTGAAGTTTCTTATCTATTGGTCGAATCTTCTCGAGAAACAATCTTTGTTCCACTAGCCGTTGGATCACCGGATGATCGCGGACGCTTCTTCCCTCGGACTTCAGTAGAAGATAGAAAACTATGCTCTGGCAATAGCCTAACAACAGAAGGTGCTTCGCCTCTAGATAGCTGATACCATCGGAGGTGACCAGCGAGTCCTTGCTCTTAACCCGCTCAAGCAGAGGCAAGACGGTGTTCTTGACTTCCCCGAGGCCATGGCGAAGCTCAGCGAGAAGACCGACCAGCTCTGGAGCATCACTCATCACCGCCGCCATCTTCTCCTCCTCTGTCAGCATGTTCAAATCCTTCGTGACCTTCTCCATCGCCACCGCACCGTTCGTTGAGGCCATGACATCACTTTCATCCTTCTTCTTCTTGTCGTCCACCTTCTTCTTCGATTTCTTCTCGCCATCTTCAGACAGCTGCTTACCAGGCATCCCCTTCTTCTCCATCTCCCTCCTCTTCACCGCCTCCTCTAACGTTTCCTCCCGTTCTTCCTGCTCCTCCTCCTCCTCGTCGGCTTGCCCGTAGTCCTCTGCTCTCAGCTTTGCCGCCATCTTACGTTGCAGCCGAAGAACCTCCGCTTCTTCCTCCGCAGGAGCGTCTTCATCATCAGTCAACTCGTAATCCACATTATCTGCATTGTAATACTGGCGTTTGCGTTTCCCCCACCTTTTGTCCTCGTCTTCGTCATCCTTCCCCTCGTCTTCGTCCTCATCATCGCCTTGAGCTTCCATCAAGGCCGTCTTCCGCTTCATGTACGCAGCCTGCTTTGCCATCTTCGCAACAAGACCGCCAATCTCCTCATCGTCCTCCTCTGCTTCCTCGTCATCATCCTCGTCACTAGCTTCTTCGCCTTTTCCTTTGATCATCTTACCGATCATTAGACTACTCCCCGATCCCTTTCCACGTTCACCCCCCTTCTCTTCCTCCTCCTCGTCATCATCTTCGTCGTCATCCTCGTCGTCGTCATCATCAACATCGGACGCATCCTTGATGTCCATCACGGTATCCTCTTCCTCCTCCGTCTCGTCCAATTCGTCGGCCGTCGCTAATTGGACCTTGTCTTTCTGTTTCATAAACTCGTCCATATCGTCATCCATATCTTCCTGTCGCATTGCCATGCCAGACATGCTGTGCCTTCTCCTCCCACCACCACCCTCCCCCCCCTCTTTCCCAACCATACCCCCCGTCGAATTCCGTCGGCGGTGTGCCATCTTCCCGCCTCCCCGTCCACCACGCCCTCAGGACCTCTTGGCGACGGATTGCTGCGATGACGACTGCTGGGGGAAGTTGTCGAAAGTCGCCTTCAATTGTAAGAGTGCCAGTGATGTTAAGCAGGTCTCGTCTCGTAATGTATGAATGAAGCAATCAGCATCTAATCTGCTTGGCATTTGCTGTCCTCCGGGGACGGTTGTCGAAACTAGTGTTGTTTCCTGGAAGGCCAAACCCGGAGACAAAACCGAGCAGTACGTGTCAGAATCGCATAATGCACAGCGTGGCAGATACTCTCTCTCTCTCTCTCTCTCTCTCTCTCTCTCTCTCTCTCTCTCTCTCTCTCTCTCTCTCCTTTGCCTGACCTCTTCCCCCCGTCCGTACTCCACCCAATCTCTGCCCTCGTCCCTCCTTCCCTCTGCCCACCATATGCCCGACCATCTCCCTCCCCTTGCTTTCTTCGCCCCATCTCTCTCGATCTCCTCCCTCCCCTTCTTCCGCCCAATCTCCACGTCCGCCTAACCTACTTCTCCCGATCTCCTTCCCTCCCATTCCTTCCCCAGCCCGATCTCCACCTGACCTCCTCCGTCCACTCTGCCGTCCACCCGGCCTCCCGCCTCCCTCCATCCGGCCTCCCTTCTTTTGTAAAGCCCAAAGTATGAAGTCCATTTCGTTTTTACTATTTTTCCGGTGGTCGTGAACGCTGCATTTCCTCTCTCTCTCTCTCTCTCTCTCTCTCTCTCTCTCTCTCTCTCTCTCTCTCTCTCTCTCTCTCTC